TAACCGCTATGTTATGCTCACGTGTTCTGATAATAATAGCTTTCTAGGACTAAACATTATTTGGATAATTGGTAAAAAAAACAAACAAACACTAAATATCTTAATAGCCCTACTGTTAGACCTAGGCCTACCTGAAAAACTAAAAAGCAATTTATTTCATTTGTAGGCCTATCGTTATTATTTATTTGTGCTATCATTATTAATTTCTTTATTTGTTATTTTATTACTGACTGCTTACTTGTCATTTTTTTTATTCAATTCAAAGTTTGAAATCAAGCTATCTCGTGCTACTGCACCAAAATTACCCCACTGTAAAATAAAAATAAAAACACTGAGTGAGCAAAAATTTGTGAGATAGCTAGTTATAATGGTAATTAGACAATGTTTACATATGAATAAAAGCCTACATTAAAATCTGTCATATAAATTGGTCTCTTCATTAGAAATTAGCCTACTGATTGCACCATTGATGGACAAAAAATTTAATAATATTAAAAATATCTGTTTGAGAGTATATTCTGCAGTTCTTCTCTGCTGTTCAGAATATCGATACTTTTCAAAGTATCATATCGAAGTTAGAAATTCAAGTATTGTGAAAATTAATTTTGTAGGGTGCCACAAATTTGTTTTTCAGCGGTAACCAAAGAAACGCTGTATCGCTGCTGTTCCATGAGCGCTGCGCTGCTTTGTTTACAGCGGTAACCATGGAAACGCTGTATCGCTGCTGTTCCATGAGTGCTGCGCTGCTTTGTTTACAGCGGTAACCAAGGAAACGCTGTATCGCTGCTGTTCCATGAGTGCTGCGCTGCTTTGTTTACAGCGGTAACCAAGGAAACGCTGTATCGCTGCTGTTCCATGAGCGCGGCGCTGCTTTGTTTACGGCGGTAACCAAGGAAACGCTGTATCACTGCTGTTCCATGAGTGCTGCGCTGCTTTGTTTACAGCGGTAACCAAGGAAACGCTGTATTGCTGCTGTTCCATGAGCACTGCGCTGCTGTGTTTACGGCGGTAACCAAGGAAATGCTGTATCGCTGCTGTTCCATGAGCGCCTCCTGCTGTCAGAGAGTGAATCTGCGTCTCATTCAGTCCGTCTGCTGTTTCTGTCTTGTTCAGATAATTTATGCAGCATAATTTCACAAACACCAATCTTTAATCTAATTTAGATTAAAAACGGCTTTAAAATTTAGATTAAAAACAGCATGTATGCATCATCTTTGTTTGGATCATGATTAAAAGTGGTTGCGTCTAACTGAATGGAAAGAGCACATGCAAAGCCTTAGCTTTTTGTCAAATAAATAAGAATAAAAAATAAATTGTGAGAAAATCGTATCGTGAAATCAGTATCGTGAATCGTAGGGCATCGTGAGTTGAGTGAATCGTTACATCCCTAGTATTTAAATATGTATTATATACACATCCAGCCTTTAAAAGAGTCCTGATCAAAATGATTCGTCTGCTATTTTGTCACACCTAGCACTAGTTTGCTTGCTAATTGAGGATAAAGACATTACGACTGGAATTTTGACAAGATTCGTCAGTCAAGCTCGTCTTAAAGTGTATTTTGTGATTATGTCGGTCTGCTAATGTTGTCTCTCTCTTCAGACGTTCAGATCTTTTCACCAGCTCATTCGCAGCAGTAACTGCTTTAAATTTATGGTTTTAAGACCGCCTAAGATCTCCTTAGTTTGTCCCTGCAGCACAAGTACACTTAAGATGTCGTCTTACAGACTGTGATCAGGGTAGATGCCGGTTTGCATTTTTTGCTGTATGAAAACAAGGCTGTGATGGATAGACAGTCAGTCTGTTTGTAGGGTTTGTACAGTCACATTTGTCACCTGAAATAGTTTTGAAAAGACATTTTGAATGTTGCATCAGACTACTTATAGTTTCAAAATAAATGAATACTTTTATTCATCAAGGATGCATTAAATTGATCAATAATAAATCAGCATATTAGAATGATTTCTGAAGATCATGTGACACTGAAGACTGGAGTAATGATGCTGAAAATACAGCTGCGCATCACAGAAATACATTACATTTTAATATATTCACATAGAAAACAGCTGTTTTACATACTAATAATGTTTCATAATATTACCGTTTTTACTGTATTTTTAATCAAATACAGCCTCGGTCATATACGCGTTTCACTCACAGCCTTGCTTCCATTTGTGAAGTTAAATATGGTTTCTACCGGGACTAAGTTGCAGTTATTTGCTTTCGAGTGTTATGCTCCGTTCTTGTAGCTGGAACAACTAAAGCAGTGGTTTTTGTGTTAGTACGTAGATTCAGTGAATGCTTCCTGACCATTTGAACACACACAAACACACTCCGTTTGGTCCTGATCCTCAGACGGCGGCCCCATCAGATCTGACTCTACGCTCACAGATAATGCTAACGCTGCCCTCACAGACCCCAGAAGGGCCCCGTATCTCACTGTTTCCACCTCAGTCCTGTGAAATATGTGCAGTGTTGTTGCCTTATATGTCCATCTGTGCAACTGTCATTCTGAAGCTTTTCCACAGCCAGTCTCTTCCCACAATGCACCTGAGCAACGGGGCTGTGGAAGGGCTTGAACGAATGAGCGCTGAATGATGAGTTTGTTTATCATCTGAGTCGACGATGACCGAAGTGCCGGCTTGACCTTTGCTCTGCGCCTCCCTCCCTCTGCAGGTTTGCCCAATACGAGTCTTTCGACTCGCGCTCCACCTCCCTCGGCCCCCGAGATCTCTACAGATCCGGTAGCTTTGGTTTCAGCGACTCCCGGGGCGACATGATGGCCCAGCGCGGAGGCGTGGGCTTTGGGGTCATGGGCGGAGCCGGCGGGGGCGGCTTTGATGGCTCCGCCTTCGGATCTGCCAAAATGCGGCTGACTCGAGACTCCGCCTTCTCGGGCTCCGGCTGGGGGGCGGAGCAGAGATCCCCGCGCAGGAACCGATCGGCTGGGGGGCGTGGCTTCGGCCGCAGGCAGGACTCCTCCTCCTCCGCCGCTGGCATGGGGGGAGGAAGTGGGCGGGGCGGAGGCCACCAAGGCCACTCCCCCGCGGGGCGAGGAAAGCTGCCCTCGCTCCTGGCCAATCGCATGTACCCCGACAGCGGGGCCTTCCAGTCTCAGCGCGGGCCCCAGGACTTCCCTGCGCGGAACTTTGGAGGGGGCCCGAGGGCCAACCGGCAGCACGGCCGCAAGAGACCCCAGAACCGAGTAAGTACCGCCCGCTCCCTGCAGGGGGCGGGGCTGAGAGATCAGCGCTCACCCCTGCACATAGGGTCCAGTCAGGCGCATTCATTCCACCAACCCTCAAGGAGAGGCTACCCCAGTCTGACCCCCATTTGAGCAGTTAGTCACTGACAAACACCAAGGGGGTAGCTGTGTAAAGTGTCACACAGTCAGGATAGCTCAGCTAACACTGTAAATCCTCCCATCATTGACTCTGACCCTCACGACTATACAAACGGACACGCCCTCAGATCTCATTTGCATGTGTGTTGTCATGGCAGCAAGTGAAAGCTCAGCGCGACGGGCAGAAGAAGAGGAAACAGACTCTGAGCGCGACCGACGAGCCCGAGTCCAAGATGGGCAAAACCGAAGCCGCGGGAGAAGCATCAGCCAGTGGTACGATAGCACACGTGTTTTCCACGATAGGCGCTGATCCGCGGCCTCCTGTCTGTGATTGCTGATAAGTGTGGTTGTGTTTCAGACGCTGTCGCGGGAGAACAGACGCAGGAGTCCGAGGAAGCGACCGCTGCCACTGCTGTGGTACGTTCATGTGTCATCTGTGTTGTGAAAACATGGCGAATTATCCAGAAATACCAATCATATTTCTCTCTGCTCTCCAGGAGTCCAAAACAGAAGATGGAGGGGAAAGTGCTGGTGAGTTCTGGGCTTTTCTTCTGCAACAGCTCAATGTAAAACATAAAAACAACTGTCCACACCTTTTCAGCGCTAATTCTTCACTGCGCATCTTTAGTAAATCCTGACAGTACTAATTTTAACACCAAAAGACTGTTTGCGCTGGTGTCCAATCTTGTGCATTTAAACAAATCTTTGAATGTCTAATGAATATTTAATACCGCTGACAGCCTGTCTGAAGGATCGAAGCAGTTAAATTGGATGTGGACAGGAAAGTTTATCTGTCACTGAACGTGCAGCCTTTTGTGAATTTAAACTATGCTGCTTGTTAGCTAGTCTTTATCTGAGGAAATACAATTCCCAGTTTGCACAGACAGGCCTCTTATTGGTTACAATGTTTACTTCCTAAACTTATTTATTCGTGAAACACACTAACATATGCAGTTAAACTGGTCCACATCCACTGAAAACCCTGTCTCTCTTCAGCTCCATCCAATCAGGACGAGAGTGCCAAGGCCAAGGGGAAGAAGACTCCGCCCTCCGCGGCCAAAGCCAGGAAGAGGAGAGGCTTCTTTGAAAGGTCAGGGGTCAAAGTGTCTGCACACAGGTCAGGTTCCTTGCTGTCTGTGCTGAGTGCTTGCTTCCCGGGCGTGTTTGTGGCTCACGAGGGCGTTGTTCTCCGGTGTTTCCCAGGATGACGTTCGCCTGCTCCGTCTGCAAGTTCCGCTCGTTCTACAGCGAGGACATGGCCGTCCATCTGGAGAGCAAGTTCCACAAGGACCACTTCAAGTTCCTGTCCAATCAGCTGTCCAAGCCCACCACCGACTTCCTGCAGGTGCGGACGCTTCAAGCCAACTCGTACCTGGAGTCCAGTGTGAATAGGTCACCTGTGAGATTTGCTTGGATCCGGGGGGTGGGGGGTCTTAACGAGGGTAAATAAAGAACTGGGGCCCGTTGCATAAACTGTTTAGACTAGTCTTAGTTGCAGACTGGTCATAACTTTTTATATTCAGTTATGAAATGGTAGATTGGTCTTATTTGTGTTGGAAAAGTAAGACTGATAACCACTTGGCAACTGCTAGTAAGGTTTGTATAGTATTTTCTTTACTCTTTACTTCAAAAACTGTCTAAAAAGGGTAATATTTTTTGTACTTGAGGTCTGAGATGTGGGAACGGTGGAGAGCTAGAGGGCAAACATTTTGCATTTTAGGTCAGCATTGTCATTGCCAATATTGTCTTAAATAGCCTGCATAGCACTTCGTCTTTTATAGCATGGGACTTTGACCAAATATATTCGATCTTGATTTTTGTAAAATGTTGCAACAAGATGTTTTTTTTTTTGGTGAAAACTTACCGTTTTTGGACATATGTGACCCTGGAGCACAAAACCAGTCACAAGGGGTTTTTTTCTCGAAACTGAGATTTATACATTTATCCAGCGACTTAACACTGCTTTTGTGCTGCAGGGACACATATATTTCTGATATGGTTCCTTAATTGGATATTGTTTTTTACTCCAGACAATATATAATTACAGTGAACTAGTTGGCTTTATAGATATTGATATTTAGTCAAATAATCAACGCCTAAACCTTGATTTTAAACCGTTTTTCAGTAGAGAATGACCAGTAATCGGATTTACCGAGATTTGTGTTTCCTTGTTTGGATTATGGCTTTCCAGACAATGTACAATTATTGCAGTGAACTAGCTGTCTCTACTTCTTAGCCTAATAATAACAACAACAACAACAAAAACACCTAAACCTTAATTTTAGCAAATGTTTACTTCAATGCAGAGTTGAATGGCTCCTTTGTCATTTGTTCTCCATTTGAAAACGTTAGATTTTCTCCAATTATTTCAGCTATTGTTAATATTGTTATTGATGCAGCTATAAAAAAAACGTAAATAAAAAAAAATACTGTTTTTGTGGTTATGGCATGAAGATGAAAAAAACCCACTACATTTAAAAGTAAACAAACAAATATCAGTGCCACACAATGGTTATATAATCATAAAAAAAATTGCTATCGGTCATACAAAGAAAAAAAAAAACGAATTTACAAATAATGATAAAGAAATGGCAAATCAACTGAATTAAACCTGGCATCTTGAATTGTATTTTCTCGTAAAACGTACAATAATCTTGATTTACAACTTTTGTACAAGCATTTGGTGAGTGTTGATTTTGGATCTTATAACGAGCGAGTTATAAATCAGTACTCTTAATAAACTTTAGAAATATTGTTTTATTTGTACATTTACGAGTTCGGTTTGTCGTTTCGCAGGGTGAAGACCCGTTCAACGGTAACCAGGACGACCAGGATCCCGAGGACTCCATGGTGATGGAGGTTTCTGAGGCCGATCTCACCAATGAAAGCCTGAATGAGATCAAACAGGAAGAGGAGGGGCCTCTGGCGGAGGGGGCGGAGCCTACAGCCGAAGCGGATGGAAATGGGGAGGAGCATGAAGAGGAGGTGAAGATGGAGACGGGTGGAGCAGCGGAGGAGGTCGAGGAGGGTGTGGAGGGTGTGGAGGTGGGCGAGGAGGAGGCGGCTGAGCATGGCGTCGATGCAGGAGCCGCGGGAGACGCTGATGCCGCAGCGGCAGAGTAATCGCCAGGAAAACACCCATTAGTGTCCATCTGAAGAATCACTTCCACATACTAAACCTTTGAACTTTATATGAAAGCTGACCCTGGGTCAGGGCAGAAATGCAGCCTGCGGACCAATCAGAATAAAGCCCGCCTCATGTTCGTCCAATCACAGGATTGCTCCGCCCCTCTACGCCTCTGATTAGATACGAGTGTCATGTGACTGTTGATGTGCCTCTTGAGATGATTTCAGTTCGTCACGTCTTTACACGCTGAAGCAAAACGTTTCATTTCCTTCTGGTTTTTCGTTTCTCTCGTTTGTTGCCCTGTAGAGCAGAAGAGATGTTTTAATCTGCAGTATCGCTCATTGTTTTTCTCTCGTGTTAAGGAAATAAATGTTTGTAAAGTCATTTGTGTGAGTGTTTTCTGCTGTATGTTCTCAGGCGAGTTTGTTACAAAGCAACATGTTTTTTCCAGGTTATTTTTTAGTAGAAACTGATAAGCTGTTTTGAAACGCGCAACTCATGGAAATTCAACAAAATAGGGTATTTAATATAAGTTTATTATAATTTTAAGATCCCACATGAAAAAAAACACTACAGTAATTTATAGTAAATAGTGTAGTGTTTTTGAACCATACTATAGTAAAGTACTTTAAATAATTTGTTGTGGCAGTCCTATAGATGTTGCAATATATTCAATTCAAGTTTATTTGTACAGCGCTTTTCACAATACAAATCGTACAGGTAACAACTCTTTCAGTCATTTAGTGGGTACAGGATCTAACAGGCATGTTGTTGGCAATATATAAAAACTATAGTAATATAAACAAATGACCCAATACTGTACTAAGTTTTCTACAACTATAGGGTATATTATACTACAATACACTACAGTTTACTGGAGTAAAAACTAAAGCATACTACAGTATTTATTACAGTTTATCAGTTTACTATAGTTAATACTACAGTATGCTGTAAATACTATAATATATACAGTATAATACACTTTACTATAGTATGCTTCAAAGACACTATATTTACTATAAATTACTGTAGTATTTTTTCATGTGGGATGTTAGTAGTTTTAGTAGTTTATGTATATAAAGTTTTTTTAAATAAAGTTTAGTTTATTTGTAGTTATTTTAGTTCCTCAGCTTAAACTAAAGGAAGATAAAAATGAAGTGAAATAAAATATACACTGTGTGTATATTTTACACGGCTTCATGGACAATTATATATCACTTATAAATGATTAAATACAAAATTAATAGTAGTTATTAAGATTGATGTGGTTTGGAATTGGTAAAATGTGCTTGGAAAAAAAAATATATCAGCGTGCCTAATAATTTTGCACGCGGTGTATGAACAGATCTATATTAGGAGCAGCATTAATGCAACCTTAAGAACAATGTTAAAGAATAAATTGATTATTTTTAGTTTTTAGCAGTCATAAGTATAAATCTATCAGTTCACAAAAGAAACTTGAATTTAATGAGAACCTGACTCTTTGGTTTTTTAGTTATTTGCTATTTTTGCTGTATAGTGACAGTTCTCCCTCAAGGATGTATTTGTGTGATATTGGAGGTTTGTAGGACAAAGGTAACGACTGTGTGATTGAATGGGTTTCCGCAGGTCCTTAAAAAGTCTTATATTTAGTTGCATCAAATTTAAGGCCATAAAAAGTCTTAAACTGTACAAGAAGGTTTTAATTATGATTTCAAGAGGTCTTAAATTTGGGGACAGAAAGACCAGAATTGCGATATGATTTAATGTGATGATTAAACTTCAAAAAGCTGTGATTTCATTAAATAAACACGAGTGCTGCAGGTTTTAAAGTCCAGTGCTTTTACCCGGGAAACAGCTATATTTCTGCCGTTCCTAAAGCGCCTCCTGCTGGCAGAGAATAAATGTGCATTTCCAATACGCCTGCTGTTTTTGTTCAGACCAATGCGAAACTCAACCCATGTTTTTACCCTGCAAACACGCAGAGCTGTAAATGTGAACTGGTGGATCAATAAGAAGACAATGCATTACACAAATCTAAACAGTAAAATGTATTTATATGTTATTTAATTGATAATAAGCCTAATTGTTTAAGTTCATGTAGTAATTCATACTTTTGATTCGTCCACTTTCTTAAAAATGGCTTGAAGACTGAAATGAAGTTTATCATTTTATACAACTTTTTGTTTTGTGAAAACTTGTATCTTAACTGTAAATCATGCTTTTTACAGTCATTTTACAGTTTAATATGTTACTATAGACATTGTCATTTAGGTCTTTAAAAAGGTTTTACAAAGTCTTAGATTTGAGCTTGAAAATCCTGCAGAAACCTGATTCAACATCTGCAACAGATAAAGCTGAACATGTTTATGTTATTGACTCTGTATTTAATGATGAATGTATGAGATGTGATATTACTGGCACTTTAGTCTGTAATAAGAAATAATAAGAAAGGGTGGCTTTAATATGAGTTTTAGTACAAATGTAAATGAGTGTCTTAAGCAGCAGAGGGAGCAACACACACATGCTACTGTTACACACACACACACTCAACCATTGAGGTCTCTCTTTCTCTCTCTCTGCGTGTGTGTGAAAGTGTGTGAAAGTGTGAAAGTGACGTGACATGTGGCCAAGTATGGTGACCCATACTCGGAATTAGTGCTCTGCATTTAACCCATCCTTATTGCACACACACAGCAGTGAACACACACACACCGTGGGCGTGGGGAGCAGTGGGCAGCCATTTATGTGTGTGAGTGTGTGTGTGTGTGTGTGTGTGTGAGTGTGTGTGTGTGTGAGTGAGTGAGTGTGTGTGTGTGTATGTGTGAAGGATGAGGTGTGAATGTGTCATTTACACCGATAAAAATCTTTATGTTTGTGTGTGTGATTCTTGTTTTTAGGCAGGATGTTTTGAAAGTGTGTGTGAGTATCATTGTTAGTGTGTTATGTTACACAGTATGTGTGTGTGTGTGTGTGTGTGTGTCTGACATTCAAAGTAAATGACATCACCTCTCATGGGCAGAAATGCTTATAGATCCAAGAACAACCTCAGGCTGTGTGTGTGTGTGTGTGTGTGTGTGTGATATTTCAGCAGCCTCCTCCTCAAATCTGTACCAGATGATAGTAAACAGCTCCATATGACATAACGCACTCACGCACACACACACACACACACAGGGTTTAAAATTTGTAAAATAATATCATTGTTCATTAATAAACATGTTCTTCAGCAAACACACATCAGCAGAAAGACAAACATGAAGAACAATGAAAACACTTCTGCCACTATATGATAAATAATTGAGCAAACACACACACACACACACACACACACACACACACGCCCTCGGGCTGATGTGACATGATACCCAGCAAGTCTATATTTTAAATGATCATGATCAACATTTCAATGTGTGCAGATAATGCATAAAGTCATAATTTTTAGGTATAAGACTTTTAACAGTTTACTGTGCTGCAGGTCTTTTACATTAATAGGTTTTAAAGTATTTTAAGCGAACTATGTCAAATGTCAAACCTTTACAAATTATTGCAAAACACAAAATCCACGTTTTAAAGTTTTTTGTCAGTTTTTCAGCAATTCAAAGTTAAAAATATCCTGCGCTCCTCATTGGTCAGCCGCGTCACCTGCGCCCAATCAGCCGCGTCCTCGGAGGCGTTAGGCCCCGCCCCCCGCAGCCGACCACAGGTGAGCGTGCGCCTGATCGCGGCGGCGGCGAGAGCGCGAGCGGAGCGGAGCAGCAACATGAGACTCGGTCCGAAGCGCCCGGACTGAGCTGATCCACACCGTGAGTACCGGCCGTCTCTCCGAGAGTCATGTCTGAGAGGAACGGGGAGAGTTTCCCGCGCTTTACAGATTTATGACTGTGAGCGCTTATCAGATAATTCACGAGCGATTTGAGCATTAACTCGAGTGTTTATCAGCACAATAACACACTCAGCAAAATATCGTCTAATTATCATTATGGATAAAATCCCAGAAAATTATCGAGATATCATTTTCTGTCAATATCACACACCCCTAATTTATGTTATTTAATTTATATCATAATTTATTGATAATAATTGTTTAAATTAATATAGTAATTAATAATTTTGACTCATCCATTTTCTTAACAATGGTTTAAAGGCTGACATGTAAAGTTTATCATTTTATAAAACTTTGTTTTTGTGAAAACTTGTATCTGAACTGTAAATTATGCTTTTTACAGTTTAATGTGGTGCTACATTGCCCTACCCCGCTCATATGGTATTAATTTATTTGTTCAGGTCTTAAAAAAGGTCTTAAAAAGTGTTAAATTTGAGCTTAAAAATCTTGCAGAAACCATGTAGAGCGAATCTTTGACTCGCTCTCGTTTCCGTCTCTGCTCGTTGGACAGGAATGTTTCTCTTGGTTTCTATGGTTGATGATGAAACTTCCTCCAAACTCGCTGCAGATTGTATGACTTCTAGTGTGTGAGTGTGTGAGTGTGTGAGTGTGTGTGTGTGTGTGTGTGTGTGTGTGTGTGTGAGTGTGTGTGAGGTTCTCATGAAGCACGAGCTGAACTACTTTTGAGTTTCTTCACAAACTCGGACACACTGTTAGTTAGTAGCTGGTGAATGTTGTGTTTTCTGAGCTGACGGATGGTTACGCACACGTTTGGCCTTGTGGGGGTTGAACCAGAGGTTTGTGAGATGATCGAGGAGAGTTACTGGAAACCCTCTGCTCTGGGGTGATTGACAGCTGCGGTGTCCAATCAGCACGCGGGAGCGCCGACTCGTGCGCTGTGATTGGTTAAGCGCCGCTCGGTGTGAAATGTTGTTCTGGTTTTGTGTAAAGGTCATGTTTCATGATCTCTAGTGCGAGTGATTTAACCAGTTTTCAGACTTTCGTGAATCTCACAAAACTGCCACGAAATGTAAGAGTCAAATGCTTTTTTTTTTTTACTTCATAACATTTAAACTGTTTTGCCTCAGCTAAAACATTGTTCATTTTCTTTAAGCACATTATAATTGTGACTTTAAAATAAAATACAGTATATTGCAAGTAAAGCATACTGTAGATGTTTTTTTCTTGCCGTTTTTGTATTGCTGTACAAAGAAAGTCTCATTCTCGTTAATGTAAAGGAAAAGATTTAGGCCTATTATTTAAATAACATTTTTAT